CACCTGACCACCAAAAATAAGTGGAGGAATTATAAGAAAGAAGGTAACTGCAAAAGGCCTATTGGCCCATACGAGGCAGCTCCTATTAATATCTCCAAGTGCCATACGTGTTAAATGATTGCTATATTGTTTTGACATGCTATATTGAGGCGTAAATAGGGATCCAACTTTTACATACCGGGGCTCACATTAAGGCTGTTGTTACAATGTTTGATCAGAGCAGACTCGATCACGTTACGTTCAACAAAATCCTTACTTTTAACAATACATTTTGCCCCTGTGAAGTCGATAAAATGATTACATAAACTGGAATGTAAATACAATGCACTGGATTGCTGGGCTGTACGAATAGCATATGAATGCTGTTTTAAAAGCGAGGAAAGAGATTTACCTGTCTGGCCGATGTAAACACATGCACACTCATTACAAGGGATGGAATACACACAACCTGCTACAGACGAGGGCGAGTTCTTAACATGGACTTAACTGTATTATCATTTTTGAACACTAGATTAATATATATTTAAGGTTCTTCAGGGCTGGGGCAAGATTTACTAGACCCCTCAGAATATGGTAATACCAACGAATTTTTCAGTTCTGGTTTAGACTTAGTAGTCTGTTTGTAGAAAGTCCTTTTTGCTTGACCAAACGCAAGATCCAAGATCGATTTTGGGTATTTTAACTTCTTCCCAATTTCAAATATATTTGCTATTTCTTCATCGAAAAATTCCGGACTGCAAACTCTCAGTGCTCTGAGAAACATACCAGAAAAAACTGCCCGCTTGACCTGAACATGATGATTTGAAATAGAAATCCGTGTAATAGAAATTCGAGATTTGTCAGCTGGATCACCCACTAAAGAGAACCCAGCTGACTATCTCTCTAGAGGCCAGATCTTGAAACAATTATCTAATGCCGAGATGTGGTTTCATGGGCCTCAGTGGCTAGTCAGTGACCAGTGGCCTAAACAAAAGCCACAAGTCATTGTGACCAATTTCACTGTTACCACTGAGATCCCAGAATCACGCTTGACTTTATTGATTGATTGCACTTAGTACTTTGAACTAAATAAACTACTTAGTTACACAAAGGGTGTTTGATTTTCTGTAGAGGATAGGAATCAAGCATAAATTCCCTAGTGATCTAAAGTATTGGGTTAAGCAAGTCTAAGTACAAACATACAGGGAGGATGTTTTTAAACCTCCCAGTAAAAACCACCAATGATCTGGGACAACCATAACATTTTGCCTTTCGGGGGGCAAATTCAGCACGCAAATGTTGATTTAGAAGTTAAACATCCTTGTTTCCTTTCCTGGAATCATTGAATATGCAGGCGATGAGTCACAATAACGTGGCTGAAGTATGTTGACCTGACCACACACTAGAAATTGAAGGGACGACGACGTTTCGGTCCGTCCTGGACCATTCTCAAGTCGATTCAATTTCTTCAATTTCTAGTGTGTGGTCTGGTCAACAGACTGATTATGTTTCATGTCCACAAGCACTGCACACTCCATGGTGGGATACTAGATACCCTTACCTCTTTAAGACAACAGTACTGGCTTCCTTAGGTCTCCAAACTCTAAGGTCAATACTTAAATCCTGTGTTGTTTGCCAGAGGTACGACGCTCGGGTGCTTCCTTATCCAGGACCTCCTCCACTCTCTAGGGAACGAGTTTTCCACCTTTGTTCTTTTGAGACCACTGGGGTGGACTTCATAGGAGCAATAACTCCAACTGGCACCAGGGACAAAATCCCTGTGAAGGCGTACATCTGTTTTTTTACATGTGTCATCACAGGGGAGTCCATTTAAAGGGGACTCCCGACATTAGCGCAGAGTCATTCATAGAGGACTTTCGCAGGTTTGCTGCCCATTACTTTTAACCCAAGTTGATGATCTCAGTTATGAATAATGAAGTTAGTGGCAGCGGAAGTATGCCTGAGGGAGATCTGGAATCATCCAGTCGTTCACACTGCCCTGAACCTATGGCAGTGCTACTGGAAATTCATACCACACAGAGCACCATGGCATGGAGGTTTCTACGAGCAAATGGTAGGGACAGTAAAATGCTATCTAAAGAAAACTCATATATAAGAACATAAGAATAAAGGTAACTGCAGAAGGCCTATTGGCCCATATGAGGCAGCTCCTATTTATAACCACCAAATCCCACACATATACATGTCCTAACATATACATGTCCTGCACTGCCAAAAAATTGATCTTCAGGAGCCCCAAACCGTTGTCACGGAAATTGAGTCTTGCACCAAAAACAACCCTCGTAGCCTGGTGGATAGCGCGCAGGACTCGTAATTCTGTGGCGCGGGTTCGATTCCCGCACGAGGCAGAAACAAATGGGCAAAGTTTCTTTCACCCTGAATGCCCCTGTTACCTAGCAGTAAATAGGTACCTGGGAGTTAGTCAGCTGTCACGGGCTGCTTCCTGGGGGTGGAGGCCTGGTTGAGGACCGGGCAGCGGGGACACTAAAGCCCCGAAATCATCTCAAGATAACCTCAAGATAACCCACTGACTTACCTCTCTGGTGATAACTTGCAACATGAGCCACATCTTATATATGGAGGACCTCTTTATATATATATATATATATATATATATATATATATATATATATATATATATATATATATATATATATATATATATGTCGTACCTAGTAGCCAGAACGTCGTACTCGGCCTACTATGCAAGGCCCGATTTGCCCAATAAGCCAAGTTTTCCTGAATTAATATATTTTCTCTAATTTTTTTCTTATGGAATGATAAAGCTACCCATTTCATTATGTATGAGATCATTTTTTTTTTATTTGAGTTAAAATTAACGTAGATATATGACTGAACCTAACCAACCCTACCTAACCTAACCTATCTTTATAGGTTAGGTTGGGTTAGGTAGCCGAAAGAGTTGGGTTAGGTTAGGTTAGGTAGGTTAGGTAGTCGAAAAACAATTAATTCATGAAAACTTGGCTTATTAGGCAAATCGGGCCTTGCATAGTAGGCTGAGAAGTACGTTCTGGCTACTAGGTACGACATATATATATATATATATATATATGTCGTACCTAATAGCCAGAACGCACTTCTCAGCCTACTATGCAAGGCCCGATTTGCCTAATAAGACAAGTTTTCCTGAATTAATATATTTTCTCTAATTTTTTTCTTATGAAATGATAAAGCTACCCATTTCATTATGTATGAGGTCAATTTTTTTTTATTAGAGTTAAAATTAACGTAGATATATGACCGAACCTAACCATCCCTACCTAACCTACCCTAACCTATCTTTATAGGTTAGGTTCGGTTAGGTAGCCGAAAAAGTTAGGTTAGGTCAGGTTAGGTAGGTTAGGTAGTCGAAAAAACATTAATTCATGAAAACTTGGCTTATTAGGCAAATCGGGCCTTGCATAGTAGGCTGAGAAGTGCGTTCTGGCTACTAGGTACGACATATATATATATATATATATATATATATATATATATATATATATATATATATATATATATATATATATATATATATAAGGGACCAGGAGATCCTTCATATATTGTTGAGCGACTTGGTTCAGAGTTACAATCATCTGTCCAGAGTAATCTGTCGGAATGAAGTTTGGACTCGAGAGTATCTAACTGATCAGCACGAGTATTACCACGGGACAAACAACCCCCTATAATAAAATGCAATTAATGCCTGGCGATGTTGTTCTGGTGGACAGTGATGGCCCATGCTCAGAGTGGCCTCTAGGCCTTATTGTTTCTGTCCACCCAGACAGCCAGGGGTGTCTTGAGGATAGTAAAGATGAAGTGCGAAGGCACCAGTACCCTGAAGACTAGAAAAGTTAGTACCATTGGAGTTAGCAAAAAATGAAGTCATCCAACGACTTTCAACACCTGCAACTCCAGTATGGGACATCCATCCTGTACTAACTGCTGCTCAAAAGTGCAAAATCAATTTGAAGCGATATTTCAATAATTCTGATGTGGAGCAATGAAGTGGATGAATTTTCAGCGAGTCCTAAGCAGTGAACTCCAACCTGTGTTTCTCTCCCCCCCCCCCCCCCCCTCCAAATTATATGGGGAAAACTTCCCACATCACCTATAAACTTCTAAATACAACATGCAGTAATAAATAAAATCACTGCTGTTATATTAATTAAACTATAAAGTGAATTAAGTGAGCCCCTCAAGGGATGGCATATGTGACAAACTTTCTCTAGAAAATGAGTGATATAAATTATTGCCGCTTCGCTTAATTATCTCACACCCAAAACTATACTGCAGCGACTATGCTAAACCATTGGAAAGTGCTACAGTTCCTGCTAACGTTTATTAAGTATTGCATGTGTTGCCATATCATGATAATTAAATTTCTAACGGTTATGTTGCACGAATAATCATTCCGAACGGGTAAGCGTCTATTAATATCAATCAATTACTATTTCTCATGTCATATCAGCAAGATAGACGTTGTTTTGCATTGTTAACAATGTAACATTCTGGAGGTGAAATTGTGACTGCACGAGACAATAACTAGACTTGTTTATCATACAACATGCGAGAACACCATTACCACATAGTCCATGAGGAGAATGAGGATGTGCCTATTGGTTGGTGCCCAGGCCACATTCTACAAAGACAGCTAATTGTCCATTTAACATGATTAACCAGTATATAAATAGTAGAATAATTCTTGGCAAGACATTTCTGTCAGTCGATTAGTTTTCATTTGGTTGAACATATTAGAACAATTCACCAAGTTTGTGAAGGAGTTTTTAGTGGGATAAAATTTAATCTGTACAATCCACACTCTAAAGAAATAATTTAATAGTAAATGAAATACAATTAATTTATTAAAACAAATAAATAAAAATAACTAAAATAATCAAAATCCCGATGGTAAATTTCCTATAACAATGCAGTGAACCTCTTTCTCTCTCCTTACACTCCGGCCTGCAACACTTCCACATCTCTCCGCCAGTACTCACAGCTGGCGATCTGGATGTAACAGGTCTGGTGGTCGAGGGGGAAGCTGGAGAGGTCCATCATGCACGAGAAGGTCAGCTTCAATCTGACGAACAACACAAAGAAATCGTGATTTAGCAAAATCATGAGGAACAGTTAGCTTCAAGGTTCTTCTGACATTTTTGGGAGAAAATGGGTTAAAGTTGGAAATGAGGCAACAATTACATTGAGAGACAGAGGAAACGGGAGCATGATGCATATTTTACTTAGTTAAAAAAAGAAATGGAAAACGGCTGATTGATGGATATATAGATTTTCCGGGACTTATATAGACGAGTAAAGATACATAGAGATTTCCAGAAGCTTATATAAACTTCAAAGAAATTTGAAACCTTTCAAATCTTCGTACGAATTTCCTGTTATTTAGTCAGGCTGCCAGGACATGCATTAATTAACAGGACATGGATATTAAATTTATAATGTTATATGAAGCCTAAAAAGCGGGTGAAATGATGCTTAAAAATTATTTACTGATACTATAAGGAAAAGTATGTATGTTAAATTATGCATTTGAAACAGGTAAACAAGTAGAGCAGACGCTACTGATCCCAAGACAACTTAAACAAGACGTGTATACTGAGCCAAAAGGTGTTTGCTTCTCAGCGATCCATCTTCAGGGTCAAGGATGTATACACGAAGGATGTATTCCCCAATTTCTCGTTATATACAGTGAGTTTACTCAAGTTATGGACTGTGTTCAGGGCTAAAGTTATTTGTTAGCTGATCAGTAGGCTTTTGTGGCGGCCTTGATAACCTTCAGAGATTGATAAGCCTTAAGGACAAAAATAATTCTCGCCTGAAGGGCTCACTATAGCTCATGCTACATGGACATTTTGTTCTGAGTAGCTAAATCTAAAACAATAATAACGTCATTCTCGCCCAAGTAGCTGCCGTGCCCAGAGGCGATTGTGTAAATATTTTCTTTCGTTATAATAAACGATATTATCTTTAATACATGGAGATATTATTATATGTCATGGTTTGAACCAGGTTGTACTCCGTTAGGTCTTGCGGGTGTTATAGTTCCGGTGACAATTGTTATATTTCCAGCACCATTGTTGAAAAATTTAAAGCAACCCATCCTCACGCTATGTTCATCCAGACTGTGGCCAACCACAACCCATCCTCACGCTATGCTCATCCAGACTGTGGCGAGCCACAACCCATCCTCACGCTATGCTCATCCAGACTGTGGCCAGCCACAACCCATCCTCACGCTATGCTCATCTAGACGTGGGGAGTACGAACTATGGAGTCTCTCAAAAAAGTATCCGCCAGTTGTTATCCGTCTCTTAAAAACGTATCAGTATCTTTGGTTACATTTATTAAACAGTTTACAAGCACGAAAACCTCCCAATCAACTGTTGTTATTGTTATAACAACCCGTCCTCGACTCAAGTCCATTCCATCCAGCGGTCGACCCCACAGACGCATTCATAAATTTTTACATTCTGTTCATTCAAAACGGGAATTTTCTCAAATATTAATTAATATTATAATATATTAGTATATTGTGCATACATAGGCCTAGGTTAGGTTAGGTTAGGTGTTTAAGTTCTGTTGGCGATTATTTGTATTTTTAGTATGTGGGTGAAGCATTTATAGCGTTGTGGTTTGAACAAAATTCTTCAGTGAAGCACTCGTTCCGGAAGTGTTCGAACATCATCAGTTGTGAATCATGTATAAGCAAGGGGTTTGGCGAGTGCATGAAATCAATTTTTTGTCGTAGTTTGGAGGATGGGCTGCAGTAGTAGCAGAAAAGATTTCTACTAATTCCCGTTTTGAATGAACAGCATGTAAAAAATTATGAATGCGTCTGTGGGGTCGACCGCTGGATGGAATGGACTTGAGTCGAGGACGGTAAGGTAAGGTAATTATCAAAAGAAGGCACCAAACCGGGAAGGCTATGTAGCACCATCAAAGTGCGAAATAATCAGAGAGCGGTAAATATCACCAAGAATGCCAATACGAGAACAAAAACGCATAAGGCGAACGATATCAAAAGTATCCGATTCACCTAGAATTCTATCGAGGGACAAGTGACCGCGAGGGACGGTCGGAAAGCAAGACACACGCTCGTCCTGGAAGTCAGGACATTCAACAAGGATATGCACAACTGTAAGAGGGACAACGCAATTCGGACAATAAGGAGCAGGGCGGCGCTCCATTAAGTGACCGTGGGTTAAGCGGGTATGACCAACCCGCAGCCGTGCCAAAGCAGTTTCCCACCGTCGGTTACGGTGGCAGAAGGAAGGCCACGGGAACACACTACGTTTGAGAGTACGCAGTTTGTTACCAACCACAGAGGACCAACAACCCTGCCAACGGGCAAGAATGGAAGAATGAATAACAGGATAAAAGTCGGAATATGGAATACCTTTACGGGAGATGGGACAAGAACAGATAGCTTCCTTAGCGGCAGCATCCGCACGCTCATTGAAAGAAACACCAATATGGCTGGGAACCCAGCAGAACTCTACTGATTTAAATTTACTAGAAATAAGAAACAGCCAATGTTGAATCTCGATGACCACTGGATGGACAGGATTAAAGGACCCTAGAGCCATGAGGGCACTACGAGAGTCAACTACAACCACAAAGGAGGAATGAGAATGAGAAAGCAAGAGACGAAGAACATAGAGAATAGCATAAAGTTCTGCTGAGAAGATGCTAGTCTCCGGAGGTAGGCGACACATATAAGTGCGGTCAGGAAAAACAACAGAGTAGCCCACACCGTCCGCAGACTTAGACCCAACGGTGAAGATGGAAATAGAGTGGGAGTGCGAAGAAAAGTGCTCAAGGAAGAGGCTTTTCAGAATTGTAGGAGGGGTAAAGGCTTTAGTAACACAAGTCAAGGACGTACAAAACTTGGGAAGGGGGACTCTCCACGGAGGTAAGGAAGGAACAATACGAGGAGACACATTAGAAATATGAACAGAAAGAGAATCCTGTAAGCAAGATAACCGGACAGAAAGTGGGAGACAATGAAGAGGAACAGAAACCACAGGAGGAGGAAAAGTCAATGCACGACAGAGACGAGAAGAAGGATGTTGGAAGGACCGCGCAAGATAGCGAAGACAGTAGCAATCACGGCGGTCCTGAAGAGAGAGAAAGCCAGTGTCAACATACAAACTAAGGGCGGGAGTCGAACGAAAGGCATCAGAGCTGAGACGCAACCCAGTATGGTGCAAAGCATCAAGACGGCGAAGAGTAGAAGGAGAAGCAGAAGAGTATGCAGGGCAACCACAATCGAATTTAGACAGGACGAGAGAGGAGTGCAACTAGAGGAGCGTGCGCCTATCCGCTCCCCAACAAGTATGGGACAAAACCTTAAGGAGGTTAAGGGCCTTAGAGCATTCAACTCGGAGGTAAGAGATATGGGCTGACCAAGACAAACGAGTGTCAAAGACTAACCCCAAAAGCTTTGCGGAATCCTTGTACACAATGGGATGACCATAAAGCGACAAAGAGGGACGAAGAACGACATGCTTCCGAGTAAAAGTCATAGCACAAGTCTTAGACGCAGAGAACTTAAAGCCATGATCGGTGGCCCAAGACGACACGGCATCAATCGCAAGTTGAAGCCGCCGTTGAAGGAGAGGAGAATCATCACCCCGACAGCAAAGGGTAAGATCATCAACATAGAGAGCAGAGAAGACGCCAGAAGGAAGAGAGGAAAGAAGACCGTTGAGGGCAACTAGAAAAAGAGTAGTGCTCAGAACACTACCCTGGGGTACACCCTCATACTGCTGAAAAGGGGCAGAGAGAGCAGTACCAAGCCGCACACGAAAGGAACGACGAGAGAGGAAGCTCTGGAGGAAGAGAGGGAGGTTCCCACGAAGGAAAAAAGAATGAAGTTGAGACAGAATATGATACCGCCAGGTAGTGTCGTAAGCTTTTTCCAGGTCAAAAAGGACGGCAACAACGGAGATCTTCGCAGCAAAAGCAGTACGAATATAGACCTCCAAGTTCACCAGGACATCTGTTGTGCTGCGGCACTTGCGAAAACCAAACTCAGAAGGGGAGAAGTGGCGATAGTGTTCTAAGAACCACATCAAACGATCGTTGACCATACGTTCAAAGAGCTTGCAGACACAACTCGTGAGAGCAATAGGGCAGAAGTCCTTGGGGGGATGACCCGAGAGACCCTGGTTTCCAAACAGGGAGGACAACAGCATCGAGCCAGTCTTCAGGGACTGACGACGACTCCCAGACCCGATTGTACAGACTCAGTAAATACTGAGACGTGCACGGAGGGAGATGGCGAAGCATTTCATAATGAATGCCATCGGAGCCCGCTGCCGTAGAACCACAAAGGGCCAGGGCAGATTGAAGTTCAGAGAGAGCGAAGGGATCATTATAGGGAAGGTGAAGATAAGTACAGAAATTTAAAGGACGAGATTCAAGGAGAGGCTTACGAAGAAGGAAGGATTGGGGAAGATGAGAACTAGAACTAACAGAGGATAAATGGGAACCCAGTTCAGTCGCAACCTGCGACGGGTCCGCCACAAGAGCACCATGGAGACGAAGGACCGGTGAGACATTGGGAATGAACTTACCCGCAATCTTGCGGATACGCTTCCAGACCAGTGGAAGAGGAGTTTCGGACGTTATGGAGGAGACATAAGACTCCCAGCAAGCACGTTTAGCTGCACGGATGGTCCTACGGGCCACCGCACTTGCCTTCCGAAACAAAAGAAAAGACTCAACCGTCTGCCGGCGGCGATGTCTCTTCCAGGCTGCACGCTTACAGCGGACAGCCCGAGTACTTCTCCAAACTCCACCAGGGAACGCACTTCCGCGTTCCCCGAGAGGAAGAGCGAGGAATAGAGTGGAGGGCAGCGTCAAAGACAGTGTCATGAAAAAGAAGGAGGGCGCGAGGGAGAGGTAAAACGGAGAGGTCGGAAATAGTAGCATGGAGAGTAAAGAGGCGCCAGTCAGCCTCGGCAAACCGCCACCTAGGGAAGGAGAGAGGAGGGCAAAAGGAGAAAAAAGTGACAAGGATAGGAAAATGGTCACTGCCCTGGAGGTCATCAAGGACTCGCC